CCTGGGCCTGTTGACCTCAGGAAATCACATGATGATGTGGGGCTAGTTTTCACAATGAGTTCACCCGAAACCTTGGCTGATTGTGACCAACACCCGTTTTTTACATCTTGGCTCGTGTGATTAGATCATTAGGGGTCAATGTCTCCCTGGGGGAATCTCCCATTGGGCTTAAGTCTGGGACTCTCCACCATTTGACCTTAGAACTGAAGAAGCTTCTCGGATGAGAGTTGAAACGTCTTCAAGCAAAAACATATTTCTGTAACTTCTTGATGTACTTTGGGAGACACCTACAATACTTCTACACAGAAAAAAAAATTGTAATAAGTAATAATAATTTTATTTACCAGAATAATATAGTATAACTCTACAATATACTTGAAAGGATTACTCCAACTGTATTAACAATGTAATAATCTCAGTTATAAAGTTATATTTTAAATTCAACATGTTGACACCTGTAAAATTGTTCAACTCTCTATAACGTAGCTTCTTCACTGTTGTTTGGCTTGGTTATTTCTTCCACTGAATAATGCAAAAGCTGCACACAAGTTATGCGTGTTATATAGGACTGCTCAGAGCCTACAATAGCCTATAATCAGACCAAGTAAGCAAAATGGCTGCGACAGTGCCCTATGTCACAACATATTTTTGCAAAGTATGTCTATAGGAAGGTCACAACCTCTCTGCAAGAGCATATACACACAGCCACACACCGTTAGCTGACAGGTTTTTTACTTGCCAAAATTGGAGTACTTGGAGTACCTGTACATGTTTAGGCAAAATTTGAATATGTTAACTTTATATTAAATCTATATTAATATATTATATTAAATTTATATTAAATCTATACATATGTCGTCAATTTCTTGATATATCACCAACGATGCTTCTATGCAGAAAAAAAAACAGTATAGAAATTTTATTTTTCTGCATTATATAGAATAAGTATAACTCCATATCAGACATCAGACATGTAATAATGTTACTTATAATGTTATAAATCATATTGAACATGTTGGCACAAATTGTACAACTCTCCATAACTTATGAAAGCTGCTTTCCTGTTGTTTAGCTTGATTATTTCTTTCACTGAATCATGCAAAAGTTGCACACAAGTCAGGGATGTTATATAGGACTGTTTTAGCCTATAGCAAGACGAAGCAAGGAAAATGGCGAAGACAGGAGTCCTATTTCACAATGTACTTTTGTACAAGTATTTCTGTAGGAACGGCGCAAACTGCGGGGGCATGCCTCTAATCATGCATGCACATACATACTAAGTGCAAAACAACTGCCCTACAACAAAATAAAGACTGTTACAATTTTCCTATCATTTATTGTTGCTGTTTTATTCCTTATGCATTAACCTCGTGGTTAGCGATGGCTACTGTGTTGTGTTGTTTGTGTTGCCTGTTGTGCTATATGTAGTGCCGACGTAGGACAGTTTTCCAATTTCATTGTACTACTGTACTATGTATGACTGAGCAATGACAATAAAGAGTTATCTTATCTTATTATTCTGCTCAAAGTCCCAGGAAAACAAACATATACATGGATGCTTGCTTTATGCTGTTCTTCAGCTGCAAAACCAAACTTACTGGCAGCTCATACATTTTAACCAGTTTAAGCTATTTCTCCTTGTAATTTTCCTTTTTATTTTTCTCAGAAAAAAGATATAGTATCCCTCCTTTCTCCCGCTCACTGCTGCTACAAGAGCCGTTAAAGTTGAGCTAAGCAAACAAAGCTAACTGTATAGAGCCCATATGTCCCCAACCCCCACCAAAACCCATCCACTCATTTGGCGTACAATTGTCTAGTTTTTTTTAAAAAAAAAAAAAATCCCCTTAAACATATGGGGTTAGTACGGAGCCCCGCAGGGGACATGGGAGAAAAAAAAATTAAGACGGACTTTTGCGAGATCTCGCAAAAC